AGTCAAAAGAAAGTTCTTGATATAGTTTATTGTGACATTCGAATGAGCTATTCATATCATCACAATCGCCAGACAAGCTGATATGGCCAAGGATCACGCGATGCGAGACCACATCTATGGGATTAAGGCTTGCTCTGGCGCAAAATAGTAGATTATCATGAGTATCGTAAACGGAATCCAATTCGAAGAGGCGACAACCAGCCAAGCTCTTGGGAGTAGGTAGTTTTACTGGAGTGACAAAAGATTTTGGTTTTTGTTTACAGATTGTGTCTAATGAACAAAGGTAAAGATTGGGGGCCCTATCTCTAGCTCTCGGAGGCGACCAAAGTAGACAGGGATGAGAAGAGGCTGTAAGTCTTGATGGTTTGGATAAAAGCCCTTTACCAAGGTAAGCTGGATTTGATTTTCGAGAGGCTAATCGATTGACCAGAGGCTCAAAAGCCATAAGAAAATCAGAATGATTAATAGGTGATCTCGGTGGAGTAGAAACGTTGGATTTATTCAAGGTGTTTCCTTCTATTACATTTCGGATACCTAAGAGTTCGCATATAGAGTAATGCAAAATAGGTTTTGGCTTGGTACTTCTTCTCTTAGAACTTCTGGTTGAAGAATCCGACGATCCATATGCCAAATGATTCAATTTTGATACCACTTCTTCCTCTTTATTGAAATCGTTCTCCTTGCTATCTCTAAGACATTCATTGTTATTAAGCGGTGATGCGGAGTTTAAAAGGTCTATAATAGAACGAATAATAGCAATTGACTTCTGGGAACTTTGATTTTTATTAACTGTAGAGTTCGATTTGCTCTCTGTTCTGCTTTGAACACGATGACGTGTCATTGAGAATGATTTATCACTCTTCCTCTCAGAAATACTGGATCTGTTTGATCTTAAAATTCCCTGTATCTTTCCAAGAAGGCAAGCAGCACAGGCTTGGTCCTCATAAATAGGGTCATCTAACAGATGAGAAAGACCATAGTCCGTGAGTGCGACGAAATCCGAATTCGATTCATCAATAACAGAAACGAATGGAATATTATTCTTGCAGTTTGAAGCATATGCGTAAGCACAGTAGGTAGGAGAGACTACAGGTCTGGCAAAACCAGTATAATGGAAATTCTCGATCAAATTTGAAGTAATCTGTGGGACAACCTGAAAAAGAAATTAAATAAATGTTAATGAATAAAAATGACAAACAAGTCTAATAGTTAATAACGAGAGGTTTTAAACCTCAGCATATGAATTCTATTTAATAGATACTTTGTGGACTTTAATTACATCACCAAACAAGTTGAAATATTTAATGAAATGTTCTATAAAGCACAAATAAAACTGCAAGCCATCACTTTTATTAGACGACAATATCTACCATCAATGCTATGCCTGATAAGAACACGGTAAATATAGAGGTTTTATAATAATTAATTACAAACATAACATTTGAAGTAATAATTGTAAGCAGAACGAAGTACAAGTAACTCATATATTTTATCAGAAGCTTAACTTAAACACATACCATTTGCCATTAAGAAGTTCGGTACAAAAAAATGAAGTGATGTGATATAAGGGGTAGCATAGAAATAAGAAGACGTAATGTTAAACGGAGAATATTAGAAAGATGCAAACGTTAAATTTATTACACATAACAAAAAGAATTAACACCAAATAATTATAGGTTTAAATATCTTTAACATGACAGGCCAGTAAGTTAAATGTCACAGACAAACAGTTCTAACAGTTCTTGGATCAAAATAATTCTATAAGTCAATAGACTGATTTAAAATAAGAATTTTAAAAAAGCAGAGCGATTTCTTTATTTCTAAGATATCGTTAGTATTATTCAAATCTGAAAAAATGCATGCGAAATATGTATAAGGAACAGAAATATTCAAAGTCCACACTAAAATAATCAAGTACGAAATAATTTTGAAAGTTAATTAAACTTCTAAATCCGAATTGATCAATTAGTATTAATTTTGGGTTCCTGGTGCTTCAAGGCAAGAGAACTTGAAACGACAAGCAAGCGAATATATACAAATTAAATTCAGCAAGTAAAATGAATTATAAGCAAGATTTGTTTAATGCCACTTCCATGGGCAATTCGATACTACTAGGATAAGCCAATTTAATGCAGCAATTGTGTACAAATATAAATTCAGAAAATTTTTTTATATATCTGAATTTAACAAAAATGATACTGTAATTTCGGTCAGTACGGAGTCACATCAGCTTAGTGCATGATACAAAACAAACTTTGATTTGATGCTTTATTAATTATTTATCTTTTAAGGAACACAAAACAACCGGATATACCTACAAGACTGACTTCACTGGTAAGATACACAAACACTGGATAAAGAAAAATATGCATTAGAGAGAAATCCATCATCATTCATGGGAAATTACCAAGAAATAAAATTGACAGAATGCGCTCATAGACAGGCAGGATTTTACACAAATACTTTATTGTAAATTAAGCGGCTGCTCTGTAGTGCCAAATTTGAAGCGGAACGTCATATACAATCCCAATCAACACCTGAACAAAGACGCCGACTCTTACACAGAGGAAAAGGTGATTAAAGAAAATGTATAGAGTTGATAGTTTATAGTACTAACTAAGCAGAGTAATTCACATTGATAAAGCATAAAAAACACGTTTTATACTTACAATTACACCCTGATTAGAGTTATCAATATAAACCGAGCCAATACGTCCACAATCGGCATGAAGTGATTTTCCTTCTCCGTAAAAGTTACATCGAACGGGATATTTACATAGATGGTTTGCACGATGGGTGTGGATATTCCACCATTCAGGATAGTATGCAGGGCCAGACGGCATCGAGAAGGAAAAGCGTGATCACGAAGGACTGAGGAAGCCGCTGAATTCGACCAGCATTAAAAAGCAGCCAAATATTAAATAACTGCTATAGCTAAATTTTATACTTACTATCCTTTATAAAAAATTTAGATCCACTAATTTTGGATTTAAATGTTGTTTACCTGAAGAAGCTTGCATCTATTTGGAATAAGCTTTGCCTTACTACTGACAATTTCTTCAGTGCTTTTTAAGAATTATATAACATGCTAGAGACAGTCTTCTATATTATTGCTTATGACTGTCAAATTCAACGTAGAAAAACTAACGATAAAGTTACTAAATTTATATTCATAAAGGAATGAACCGATAGATCACAATAACAGCTGAGTAATATATTTTTGGCCTTTGGGTAGGTTGGTGCACAAGATCAATTTCACTATTTACTTCAAAAGTGAATAAGATTCAAGGAAACAAAGCTCTGGTAGACAGATTTAGCCTTACTTAGCAAGATTATTTACTGTACTTTAGCCA